GGAGGGCTACGAGGATGATGAGGGGACTGGAGCATCTCTCCTGCGAGGAGAGGCTGAGGGAGCTGGGCTTGTTTAGCCTGGAGAAGAGAAGGCTGAGAGGGGACCTAATATGTACTTACACATATCTGCAGGGTGGGTGTCAGGAGGACGGGGCCAGACTCTTTCCAGTGGTGCCCAGCGACAGGACAAGGGGCAACGGGCACAAACTGAAGCAGAGGAAGCTCCAGCTGAACCCGAGGAAGAACTTCTTCCCTCTGAGGGTGACGGAGCCCTGGCCCAGGCTGCCCAGGGAGGCTGTGGAGTCTCCTTCTCTGGAGATATTCCAGCCCCGCCTGGCCGCGGTGCTGTGCCCCCTGCTCTGGGTGACCCTGCTTGGGCAGGGGGTTGGGCTGGGTGACCCACAGAGGTCCCTGTCCACCCCTGCCATGCTGGGATTCTGTGATTCTGTGATTTTGTGATCTGCTGCGCCTCGGGGCAGCGCGTAGGGTGGGCAGTGGTGGGGAAAGTGGTGCAGGAAGGTGGCAGGGCTTTGTCGGCCGTACAGGGAACCGGTCTGGTGCTCTGTCCGCCTTCCTCCTCGCCCCTCCTCACCTCACTAACCCACTCCTGTCATCTGCCTTGTCCCCAGGTGAGCCAGCTGAGCAGGCACTTCAATATACGGCCCTTCTCGCTAAAGAAGCCCACGCCAGATTGACTAGGAGTGGAGGAAGAGAAAATCGGCTTGCGGTCAGCAGAAGTACTGTAAATAACTGCTGCAAAAACCTGTAAATACTTCCACCATCACCACGGATCTAAACCTCACCTCTGGACGGACATCAGGGCACAGTACGCACGGTATCCGGTGCGGCCAGGGCGGGACTGGCACGGGGCAGCCCACGCTGCTGTGGGATGAGTGCAAGCTTTCGGGTCTGGGCAAAACTGGACGAGCAGGGTCTCGCCTTTCAGGTCACCGTTACTGTATATCAGACCAACTGAATGTTCCCAGTGAAACCTCAAACTCCTGCTCTTGCTCGGGTAAAGCTGCCTGGGGATGTGAATGGCTTTACCTGAGCAAAGCACCTTGACCTGTCACCAAACCCAACGGAAGAGCCGATTTCTGCAAGGTCAGGGGAACGTCCTGATGGTCGGGGAGTTCCTAATCCTGGTGGACAGCCCTCGTGCCGGGCTGGTGGTTCGGGAGCAGATGGTGACGGGTCTCCCACAGTCTGTCCTGCCTTCCTGCACTCACCTATTTGGGCAAATACTTGCACCTTTTTTTTTTTAAGAGGAAAAAAAAAGAAAACATGCAAAATAATAATATTCTACTTGGGGTGAGCTTAGAAAATCAGGGCTTGCTTTTTGGTAAAAGTTGGAAGGCGGATTCTGCCGCCGCTGCTCGAGCTGTGGGTAGCTGGGGCCACATCTCCACCGCGGT